AATGGACAAAGCGTCTATGGACTATACGACAGCTGATTTACCAACACACTTTACAGCACTTTAATATTACAAAATTTTCACTGAATAATCAAGGTCACAAAGTACTCACTATTATTTGCCATAAACAGCCATGGCCAAAAATAATGGCACCCTTGCAATTCTTTCAGAAAATGCAATCTTTCTCTCAGAAAATTGTTGCAGTTCCAAATGTTTTGGTATTCACATGTTCATTTCTTTGCTTTACATTGGAATTACACAAAAAAAAACAAAGAAGAAAAGTCAAATCTGATACAATCCCACAGAGAAACCCAAAAATGCACTGGCCAAAATTATTGGCACCCTGTCTAAATTGTAAGAAATAATTGCTTTTCATGCATGTGATGCTCCTTTGAGTTGTATTTAGACACACCTGTTGCAAGCAAGAGGTGTGGGCAATATAGTAATCACATTTGCAAACAGTTAAGATGGAGAAAAGTTGACTCAACCTTTGTGTTGTGTGTAACACTGAACATGGACAAAAGAATGAAGTGTAAAGAGTTGTTTGTGGATTTGAGATGTGAGAATTTGTGGAAAAACATCAACAATCTCAAGGCTACAAGTCCATCATCAGAGATCTTAGTGTTCCTGTGTCCATTGTGCACGATATTATCAAGAGGTTTACAGCCCATGGCACTGTAGATAACCTCCCTGGACGTGGACGGAAGAGCAAAATTACTGAATGAAGGGTTGTTCGAATGGTGGATAGAACCCAGATTAACTTGCAAACAAATTCAAGCTGATCTGCAGACACAGGGTACAACAGTGTCAGCTTGCACTATCCGTCGCTATCTGAATGAAAAAGGACACTATGGTAGGAGACCCAGGAAGACACCACTACTGACAACAAAGGCATGAAAAAGCAAGACTGGAGAATGCCAAAACCACAATCCTTCTGGGAGAATGTACTGTGGACAGATGAGACAAAAGTAGAGCTTTTTGGTCAAGGACATCATGGCACTGTTTACAGAAAAAGAAATGAGGCATTCAAAGAAAAGAACACAGTCCCTTCAGTCAAGCATAGTGGAGGTTCAAAGATGTTTTGGGATTGCTTTGCTGCTTCTGGCACTGGATGCTGTGATCTTGCCACCTGTCATCTACTTCCTTTTTCTTAACTTTGTCCAAAGAAGCAGATGTCGCACTCAATTCTTCTAATAAAACTGGTTTATTATTTAACATATCTTCATCAATCTCTGAGTTTTGTTTCTCATAATCCAAATTCAACAATAAATCATAAATCTTAACTTTATTAAAACTGGGTATCTCTTCATGATATGACAATGTGGAATAACTAGTAACACCGTGAGACCACTTGGGTTTGGCACTCATCAACTCTGACGTGTTCTCAGCCCACTTCAGTTTTGTGGATTGAATGTCGAACCTTCTTGGCATTCCCCCTTTATCAAGCCATGAACTGTTCTCCGCCGGCATCTGAAGGGGCTGGGCCCACCCGATGTCTCTGGACTCACTATACATCTCTGCCTTTCTCTTGTCTGTTCTTCCCTTTTTACCCACACTTTGTACTCTTTCTTTGGCTTTCTCTCCTCTGTCTCCCCCCAGTAAGGTGGCTTTCTAGACATCTGTTGTCTCCATTCTCTTTCAGAATATTCACGGGGCACTTTGAATTCCACCCACTCTCCTGTCCAAAGGTCTTCTTGGATCAACTCTACAAGCTCTTCTTTTTCCTGTACTTTCTCCTCTCTTCCCCAACATGCTTCTTCCTCCCCTCTCCTTCTTCTCTGTTTTTATTTTCCTCTTTTCCCACCTGATTTGCGCCCCCTTCAGTCTCTTCCTTTATTTCTACTTGATTCGCTTTCTATAACTCCCGTCTCTTGCTCTTCTGTCTTTGTTTGACAGTCGGACAGTACGCTCTCCTGATCCTGGTTGAGGTGACTCTTTGCCTCACAGATGCATTGATTGTGTGAACAGTATCATGAAATCTGATGATTACCAAATAATTTGGGGGCACAACCTAGTGGCCAGTGTCAGAAAGCTGCATCTCCACCAGAGATCATGGGTCTTCCAGCAGGACAGTGACCTGAAACACACTTCAAAAAGCGCTCAGAAATGGTTACAAACAAAGTGCTGGAGAGTTCTGAAATGTCCAGCAATGAGTCCAGATGAGTCCATAGAACACCTGTGGAGAGATCTCAAAACAGCAGTTGAGAGAAGGCATCCTTCAAATCTGAAGGCCCTGGAGCAGTTTGCAAAAGAAGAGTGATCCAAAATTCCAGTAGAGAGGTGTAAGAAATTTATTCAAGGTTACAGGAAGCAATTGATTTCAGTTATTTTTTTCCAAATGAAGTGCTACCAAATATTAAGTTAAGTGTGCCAATAATTTTAGCCAGTGAATTTTTGGGTTTCTGTGTGGGATTGTATCAGATTTGACTTGTCTTCTGGGTTTCTGTGTGTGTGTGTGTGTGTTGTTCCAACACAAACCAAAGAAATGAACATGTGAGTACCAAAACATTTGCAACTGCGACAATTTTCTGAGAGAAGGGTTGCATTTTCTGACAGAATTGCAAGGGTGCCTTGCAAGGCCAATATTTTTGACCCTGACTGTATCTCCCCTACATTTCTGCAAGAAATATACCACACATATTAAGAACCCTTTCAGATTTGTGTATTTTCAAGATGATACCACCCATTAGGATAAACAGCAGGGATGAGAGAAAATTAGAAGTACTTGCTTCCTTTTAAGACACAGGCCAGCCTGTGCTAAGACACAGACGTACATGTGTGTGTATGTGTGTGTACACACACACAAACACACATACACACCCCTGTTTTCTGAGTTATATACACATACATATATGCACATGAATACACAAACAAGATTATGACCCCCTGGTATTTAAGATGTCTAATGGCAGAAGAGTGCAGAGGTTCAGTACCTCAGCAGATGTTCGGGAATCATTTATAGAGCTTGGGAAGTTACTTTTAAAAATTGTCATTCGAGCAGCAAAAAAAGAGAGATACTATTAGAGCTACAATTTTGAGCAGTTCTCTGTTTCATATATGTAACTAGAATTTTTTTAAAAAATAAGTGAATGCTACAAGCTGCTGCCTCATGCTACAAAGCATTCTCCTCTGAGATACTGTACTTCATTAACAACTCATCACCTACAACAGAGTATGGGGTGGCAGCAGGAGGCACAGAATGAACTAAAACTTGAACCTGGTGATATTGCTCTTCTGCACCTTTTAGTGAGGCTAAGCCCCTGTATCATATAAAAGTAACTAACAAATTACAGTTACACTACAAAAGGAGTGAAATTAACTTTGATAAGATATACTCATAACACAATACATTTCCTATTGGGAAGATAATGAATTGCAAGTCATCATTTACTGTCCTGTTTCAAAGCATCCTCTTTTAAATTAATCTACATGTGTTCTCAGCATTGCTATCATTTTGGCTTTGTATCTATTTTGAGATGCTTAATGGTGGGTGGCTGTGTTGCCATTATATTGTGTTGCTGTAAACCAGTTAAGAGTAGTGCTTTGCACTAAGTCAGCAATACATAAATGCATTAAACAAACAAACAAATACTGTACTTCCAAACTATTCAGGTTGGAATCTTATATTCATTTTCCTAGGAATGAGCCGCAGTGCATTCAAAGGATCTTATTTGTTGGTAGATATGCACTGGATTGTGTAGTTGCTGACAATCCCTAAACAGCAAGAGAAAAATTCCAAAGGGGGAACCTTGTAACGAGAATCATCCCTTACATTTCACGACCTGTGTCTTCCTTTTCCAGAATATTGTAGTAGTTATGTTAGTTCTGTGGGGCCCAGTCTGAGAAAAATCCAATGTAGACTGAAATGTAGTGTTCATAATTTTTTAGGCCTCACCCATCTTTGCCTTTGAATTATGTACAAGGCCCACACGCTTTTCTTTTTTTGTTGCATTTTACTTGCCTTTGAATTATGTACAAGGCCCACACACTTTTCTTTGTTGCATTTTATTCCACATACTGTATTTCATCAGCCACTGCCCACGGTAGAAGTCTTGCTGATAAACCCTGATGTTGCCTTGCTACTCCCACTTATGGATTTAAGCACAAACCCACTACTAAGACAGATTTATTCTGAGAATAAACCCCTTCGAGTCTTTTAAATGTTACAGGAAAATGTGCATACATATTTACAGTGGAATCCTATGAAGGTTTACTCAGAAGGAACTGTGTATCCAAGGATTTGCCAGTAGGATGAGGGTCATATGTTCTGGATTACAAACTCCATAATTCCTTATAGTAACCAAAGTGCATTTGACTGATTGAGGGTGTGTGTTGAACCAAAACATCCGGAGAACCACAGGTTCTCCAACCCTGGCTTGCTCCACGTTAAGTAAACAGTAACATTGAGCTTTACGTTTTGAACGCCACAAGTGTTCTACATCACCTCTCTTTACCTACTGGCAGTACAGTATACTGTGTGTACCCCTAGGACCCCTCAAAAGGAATCAGCACATTCTTCCAAGTCCATTCCTTTAATAAAAGTAAAATAAAGGCATTTTCTCGCAAAAAGGTGCATGTATGAAACCACGAAAAGAACAAAAAAAATGCGGCGGAGGGGAGAGAGAGCCCCTTTACCTGAACAAGTGTACCTTCGTACATAAGATAAACTAACAGAAGCTCTACACTCCATTAGCGTGGAGGCTCCCCTTTGCTCACCCCGCCTCCATTTTTGCGGGGAGACAAAAGCCCCCTCCGAGCCCCCGTCAGACTAGCATTACGAAAGGAAGCCGGGAGGGGAGCCAATGGTAACGGGAGAGAAGCGCGACCTCTTTCGCGCCCTCTTCCAGCCCGCCGTGGCGCGGCGTGACTTTTCTGGCGCTCCGCTCGGAACGGATGCCAGAGGCGGGCCTGCAGTTTCGCTTCCTGGCCAGTCTGCGCCGAGTTTTCTCTGGCCCGCCGCCCCCCCCGCCTCTCCTTTTCGCCCCCCCTCCCTTCCCCTCCTCCGCGCGCTCTGGCCCCGCCCTTCCCCCCTCCTTCCTTTGCCTGCCTCCCTCCGCTCTGTTACTGCTGCGGCCGCTCCGGCGGGCGCTTCCATCCTGGTATTTCGGAGCCTCCATCCTGGTTTCTCAAGTGCCCGGACCCAAAACAGGAAGTAAGTGGTGTGCGCGCGACGGCTGGCTCGGCTCGGCGGCTGTTGGGCCTACTTGGTGGCGGAGGAGAAGCCGACGCCGGGGAATGGAGGCGGAGGGCGCGAGGGGCCGGCCTCGGGGGTGATACGGCCTAGGCGGCTGAGGAAGAGAGGGAGGAGGGGGGGCGCAGGCGGCAAGAGGGGCTCGGTAGAGGTCGAGCGGGCTTCGGGCTTCTTGATCCCTCGGCAACCCGGCCCGGGCAGTGGCACCGGGTCTCGACTGGCGGCGGCGGCGGAAGGGGGCTTCGTACTGTATATAATATCGCAGCTCAGTAGGGCGTTGTATAGCCCAGCCTCCCTTCTTGGCGGCATATCGGGCCACCTTTTCTTTTCTCCTCCGCCTTTTCATCCCATCTCTCACCCCTCTGGCCTTTCTCCTCCTCCTCCCCTCCCAGTGCTTTCTGAGGTAACTGCAAAGGTGTTGCAGGTGAGGAATGGGCGCAAGGTGCCAGACTGAGTGGAAGCGGCTGGGCAGGATAGGTGCGGGGAGTTGCAGGGTAACATGTGGTGATGGCGCAAAAGCAGTGTGCATTTGTAGAAGAGTCATAGGAGGGGAAAAAAAGTAATTGGCAGTTCTGCTGGAACGTAATAATGTACTGGAACATAATAATGGCAGTTTAGTCTTCTTCCTCCTCCTTGTTTTCTCCTCTTGCACCCCCACACATCCACACTACTCTTCCGTATTATATAATGTTACCCTGCACTTCCAGTTATTCTGGCAGCTCCGTCCCTCTTTTCTTTCACACTTCTGAAATACTCCATGAACGAGAATAAGGCAGCACTGCCAGTTCTCTCCTCCTCTTCTGTTGCACCCTTGAAGTATTACATAATGTCAGCAGAATGTACCACTGCCTTTCAGTCCAATCCAAAAAAAATCCCTTGATTTTTTTTCATTCTGTAGGCTTAAATTGGACCTTCTTCTTTCCTCAGCTCAATATGTAGCTGATCTCACTTAGCTGTACCCCCTCCCTGTGGGGGAAACCATCTTGTACCTTCAGTTAACAGGTCATAGCAAAGTCCTGTGACATTCTCACAGCTGATTTATGATTATACAAATTTTGAGACAATATTATCACATTTGTTATTTTGTTTTACAAGTATATTGTATACATTTGAGGTGGAATGGCACTTCCTCATCAGTGACCAAGTTTGCAGTTTGAGAGTGCTTTTGGACCTCATTTTGCTCCAGATTATTCCTGTGGTTAGATGTGCTTTTGCACATCTTATGCTGATGTGCCAGCTACAGCCTAGCAGTGCTTTGAGGATATAGTTCTGATCACAGTTTTACCTACTTTAATGGCATCTAGGTTGGAATGTTGCAACCTGGCCTAAGGGAAACTTATTAATGTAGAATGCTGATGCCTGCCTATTGTCAAGGACCTTGTGATTCTATACACAGTGCTTGATCCATACTGATTCTTACCTGTTGCTGAATCTAATTCAAAGTTTTTATTATCATCTTTAAAGCCTCACACTATTTTGCACCAGGATAGCTAAAGAACAACTTATTCCCAAGTGGTTCTGCCCATCCATTGAAATTTTCAAGAATGATTCTTCTTTGCATCCCATTTCTTTTTGAACAAGGTTGATATAAGGATAGAAGCTTCCTGTGGCAGTGCGTAGACTTTTGGTACTCCTTTCATTTGGCCTTTGCCTTTTTTCTTGACATTTATGAAAAAAGATGACCTTAGTTCACTGGAGCATTAATGTTGAATGAATGAATTGAATTTGTTTTTACAGTGGCTGCATTTTTGTTGTTCTGTCATGTTTTGATTGTATTTTATTTCGCAGTTTATTTGCTTCACAGAAGCTAGAAACCTAAAACTTATTTTTTAAAACTAGAAATGGTTAACAAAACAAAAAAGCGCTGTGATATCTTAAAGGTTAGTGGTTTCTGTGGATTGTAATCCACTTCCTCAGAATATAACAGGCCAAAGGTTTTAATAGACAGAGTACATGCTGAAAGGGAGAGAGGGAACACCAGGTGAATTAGGAAGAAATGGGTGGCAATTATATTGGTAATGAGTTTTTAGAATGATAGAAGAGCTATAATGCACTCCTCTGCGCTCAACTTGTCAACAGTCAAATAATTGTGCTGAAATGACAAGTTCTTTGAATAAAAACTTTCATTTTTGTTTTCATTTTGCTGAATGGACTGAAAAACTGTTACAGCTACTTTGTTGAAAACTAAAAATATAAAAGTGAACTCACTAAGATATCTATGTACCACCTTGGAATAAATTGTTTCCATTTTGTTACCACAAAAATGTGCACATTCTCATGCTGTACAGCAGCTCTTTACAGACTGGCACTGAATAGATGTGCTGGACCTTAGTTCCCATCATTCCCCCATAAGGGTGTCCATGGACTACTGTTTCTTGGGATGATGAAAGATAAAGTCAATACATCTCTAGAAACCACTAGGTTTGAGAAGGCTGCTCTTGAGTCACAGTGCTTGTTATAACTTTTTTATGAGCAGATGTTTTGTTATGTGCTGTCACGTCATTTCTAACTTATTGTGACCCTAATTGGGTTTTTGAGATATGTGAGATATTCAAAGAGGAGTTTCCCATTGTCAGTAAGTTTCTGTGCCCTAGTAGGGATTTGAATCAAGGTCATCTGAGGCCTAATCCAAAACAATCCACTTCATCACACTGATTTGCAAATATTGCTCTTACAAAAGTGTACTCTTCTACGTTATATCTTGAAAATTATTGTATTTTACCCACAGTTGCCACATAATGCCACATAAACACATACCATGATAATCTACATATATTTCTTTCCAAAAATAGATGCTGTAATTTGTCCCCTCAGAATAAATGGCTGTTGCCTGACAAACAAAATGTTTCATAATTACTTTGCAGAACATGCCATCAGAGCCACCAACAGAGAATACTATAAAGTCTCGAACCCTTGGAAGATTTAGAATATTATAAATAATCTGGGACAAGAAACCACTGAAATGCAATATCCCATTGGGTTAAAATGTGCACTTATTTCTGTTCATTTTTTTAAAGCAAAGTAGAATAATTTCACTATAAAAATGAGTAATAGCATTTGAAGCCCACCCCCAAGAAAAGAAATACAGTACACATGGAGGTGGTTCCGAGATCCTGTTCAAAAGAAGAACTTGAAGCCACCAATTCTCAACAGAAAGAACCAATACTGGTGAAACTTGCATGGGGTGCACGTCAAATAATGGAAAAGGACCTTTGCCAAATTTAAGTGATTTATAAATAAAACATCAGACAATTGTCTTGGTTGTTGAGAATGCCATTACTGAATAATAAATTGTTATATTGCATACTATGTGGAATCTCTGTTTTAATTTCATTTCCAGTTAATAATGAGAACACTGTGGGAGGGGGGTTTAAAACATTAAGAAGTAATGCAAACCAGTTCTAAATGTTTATATTTTCTGACTGCATTCATGTAATGAGTTTCTATATGAATTGCCTCAGCCAACCTTCTATGTATACAGTTCTAACCATGCGTACTCTGATAAATAAAATAATTCATCTGATACTTCCATGGGATATAATATATGTGTGTAAGATAGTATTCACTTATGTAAAAATGAAATAGTTGGATTTTTAAAAAATAAAGGACTCTTTCAGAGTTTCATTTTGTGCCACTTTTACATTAATTTTGTATGCACGTGAGTGCTAGCAAAGACTGATAGTAAGTAAACACACCCATGATGAGAATGTCAAGTCAGAGATGCATGTTACACAGTTAGAAAACTTCTCTACAAGCTAAACATGCTCCAGGTCCTACTATAGATTTGCAGAGTTATCCAGATACTGTACAGTCTTGATTCACTGAGATAGCTAGTTGTTTCAGTAATATTAAGAGGTTGAACACTGTTGCTTTCAGTGTTATGAGTAGTCTTGAATCAGGACATCCACTGAGATGGCCCTGGATATCAACTTGTGAAACTTGTATGGTACCTACTGGATAATCTCTGTAAATACCTATTCAGAATTGTAAATACAGAGAATAGCAAGCAGTAGAAGGTGCCTTTCTCTTAATGTGGAAAGCTCTCTTCCCCCAGTAGGTGAATGTTTGCCTCAGAATGTGACCTGAAAGCTATCTGAATTTATGTACCTCCGGGGCTAATCACTGTCTGGATAGAGGTGAAAAAGCTGGATAAGAAGCAATAAATATTAAATAGCATTTAATACAGTATGTTGTAGCCCACTTTCAGTTGTGCCTTGTGATGTACCAATTGTGTGATGTGCACGTCCAATTTTTCAGCCTCCAGAGAAAAAGGTGTTATCCGCCATTCAAACTCTCTGGAACTGTATAATCATGTATTTTATATAAAAGACATGATTATACAGCTCCAGAGAGTTTGAATGGTGAAGCTCGCTTGTTTTATAATAAAGTTAGAACGGCAGAGCTGGAACGGACTCTGTGGTTCACTGAGTTCAGCCCCTGTCAAGGAGGTGCAGTGGAGAATGGAACTCCCAACCTCTGGCTCCGCAGCCAGATATTGGTAGGCCTTAAACAGAAGCTTTAATCTTGTGAAATAGAGCTGAGGTAAAACTGAAGATCTAGATTCTAATAGATTTTGTAACTATTCATATATCATGTAAACTCAGTCTAGCTTATAATAGTCAAAACTGAATTCTTTTTTCAAAAATAACAGGTTAAAATGCTGCAGGCTGGCTTAATAGCTCAGTATTTAAGGTATTTTGACTGTGGAGCTGGAGGTTGGGATTTTAATTCCTTACTGTGCCTCCTACAAGCCAGCTGGCGTGGCTGTGGGCAAACTGCACAGTCCAAGGGTGCCCTCAGAAGAATGCAGTAGTAACCTGCTTCTGAATGTGCTCTACTTGGAAAACCCTGCAATGAGTCACCATTAAAAAACAAATATGCTGCTTAAAGCACTCTGGCCGCACAGTCCAAGGGTGCCCTCAGAAGAATGCAATAGTAACCTGCTTCTGAATGTACTCTACTTGGAAAACCCTGCGATGAGTCACCATTAAAAAACAAAGTATGCTGCTAATATACTGTACTGCGCCATACTGCTTAAAGCACTCTGGCCGGTTTACAGTTTAATTGTGCTGGCTACACATGGCACCTCCGCCCCCAAGCAAGCTGGGTACAGTACTCGATTTACCAGCCATGGAACGATTGAAGGCAGATGGAAAGATGGAAGAACCTTGAGCAAGCTACACTGGAATTAAAACCCAGATTGTGAGCAGAGTTTTGGCTGCAGTACTTCAGTTTAACCACTGTGCCATGAGTCAGAATTGATTTGACTGGGCATTACTATTACAGTTTTAAAATGCTGCAATCAAGTTAATGGTAGTTTGAAGACAATAGAAAGTATTCTGCAACTTGTTTTATGTACAGCATCAAGTTTATATAGATGTTATAGCCGCCTAGAGTGGTCTTAATTGACTAGATAGGCAGGATATAAATTAAATAAATAAATAAATAATAGTGCTTCTAAAGCCTGTCGTTGAAGTGGGGCAGCTGTATTGCTAAGCACAGTGAAGCAGCTGCCTCACGCAGCAGTAGCGACCCCTCTGCCATACTCATTTATCAAAAAATTGATTTCTGTGTGTCACATAGACCTGTATCCCCTAAGCTAACACTTCTGCCAGGAATGGTGAAGGAACACTATGCTGTTGCCTGTGTCACAGTAAATTTACTTGCCATTTCATTTTTGTACATGAAATGAGAAGGCTGGGGAGCACCTTGCTCTTTGCCTCTGACAGCAAAATCTCTTGAGCTAATTCAGTAGGGTAGATGCCTCTGTGCATAGACACAGCCTTAATCAGCCTTGTAAATAGCAATTCACCTGAACAATCTTTAGGCCAGTGGTTCCCAGCTCTGGTTTTTCAGATGTTCTCAGATTAAAACTCCCAGAAGCCTTCACCACTAGCTATGCTGGCCAGAATTTCTGGGATTTGTTGTCTAAGAACATCTGAGGACCCAAGGTTGGGAACCACTGCTCTAGGCTCTTCAGCAGGGAAGCATTCTAAAATGGGTGCTGTATCTTTAAAAGACTACTGTAAGTATGTGTAGGTGGTTGTTGTGGGTTTTTCGGGCTCTTTGGCCATGTTCTGAAGGTTCTTCCTAACATTTCGCCAGTCTCTGTGGCTGGCATCTTCAGAGGGCAGGAGTAGCACTCCACAGTGTAGCACGCCACTGCCGAAGCGTTACGAAGAACCTTCAGAACACGGCCAAGGAGCACAAAAAACCCACAACAACCATTAGATCCCGGTCGTGAAAGCCTTCGCGAATACATATGTGTAGGTGCTCAGCAGTAGCATAGCACATAAACTGTGCTGAAGAAGATTTAAGCATGGCTCATGGAATATAAGGCAAGTGATAATCCTTCTGTCTAGCAATATGTCCCATTTGGGCAACCCTGTGACTGCTGCAAAGTTAGAGCTCCCAATTTCCATGTATCCATGTCACTCTTGAAGGGATGGTGACATCTATTGGTTAAGAGAGAGATGGTTTTTCTCCCCCAACTTTGTTATTGCATTGTTGAGTCAGTGTTGAGCATTGTTATCCAAGTGCCCCAAATGCCTGATTCTCTTCCGTGAATAGCTACAGATAGGTGAGGCAGTGGTTAGCTTTTGTGGTCATTCCTTTTCCACACTCTCACTTACTGATATGGGACATTTTGTTTGATGAGGTGTTAAAAACGCTTGTGTCTGGGGGCTTGATGTAGGTCTTTGGTGGGAACTTGAAGCACATGCAAATTATAGGACTACCATGCTTTCAGTTCTGTGCAAGATGCTTTACTGAAAGTGCTAATTCCAGACTTCTGCATTGCTGCTCACCCAGGTGACTGCTCACTCAGTTAAGAATGGCTTCTGGGCAATCAGAGCAAGAAAAAGTTGGTTCTTCTTTTCAACCAAATATGTGACCTTTTTTGCTTGGTGCTGGGTTCCATGGCCCCCTTGTTCCTCCTCACTAGCTTTCTTTCTATCCCCTTTTGTGTGCTCAGAATCCCAAAGATAACAAACACTGTGTTGTATGCCACTTACCTTAATAGGTGATACTATTCTCTGGCTGTGTGTTATGCTTTCCTAATGGCAATCTGTGGTTGGCTAATATGCATATGTGGCATTGTGCTTATATAAGGAGCTAATGGCCATCTCCCAATATACAGAAACTTGATTATTTCTGTTTTCTAGATCTGTGAGTTGGCTATAATGTGTTTTTATTTACCTCTTATGTTCTGTGCATGGCATTTTACCACTTCAGAAGGTCATCTTAATTCTCAGATTGTAGATAAATTACAGTCTCGAAATAACTGTGGTGAAATTGGTTAGAATAGGGACTAAAAAGAACTGTTGCTAATATATGATTTATTCTCATTTAGATTTGAGTATGAGCACAGTTGAAGAAGAGTCTGACACAGTGACAGTAGAAACCGTGAATTCTGTGACTTTGACCCAAGACACTGAAGGAAACCTTATTCTTCACTGCCCTCAGGATGGTATAGACAACTGTTATTTGACTGTATGCTTTCTCCATATTATTTCAAAATATAGTTAATGAACAAAGCAACTAGGACAGCATCATCTGAGGCTTTGTGGGGGATTTTGATGCTCTAGTTTGGGTGATGGTTGGTACTGTAGGATTTTCGTTCTAGAGAATGGCTTTTAAAACTTCTTTGGGAAACATAAGGATTCCCTGGAAGATTTTCAAGGCTTTCAGTCAATGATGATGATCTGTAGAATGTAGGAAGCTGCCTTATGCCGGATGAAATAGTTTGTCTTCCTAGTCCAGGTCTATATGGATGAGCTAATTAGCTGACTTTCAAGGCTGTAGAAATACTGCCTTTTCAATGCTGCCACAGTATTCTCGGGCAGTCTTCTTCAAAAAAGGGTCAAACCTAGCGGTCTGCGCTCAAGAGTTGTAGTTCTTCCACAAAAGACAGGAAGGTGCCCTCCATTAATTAAAATTCCCTTCAAAGTCCTTTGCAGTGCATAGCTGCAGGACTAGGTATGTTTTAATGTGCCCTCAGTTCAAGCAGAGCCGTGAAAAGACCCAGTAGGCTTGGCAAGTGCCTCTCTTGAACAAAGGGGTCCGCTAGGATATGTTCTGGAGTGGCAAGAGGTTAATGTAGGAAGTTTACCTGGATGAAGAAAATTTTAAAACTGCTGGCTTTGAACAGATGTTTAGAGGTTTCTGCACAGACCTTTGAGTCAGAACTTGTCCGTTTTTGCAGAGTGCCCATTGAAAAGTTTATTTGGAATGTACAGTTTCTAGACCACTGATATATTCTAACTTCTGCAATTTGTATAGTGTTGTATGATATCCATCAAAGTTACATAAAGCAAATGTGTTTTGGAGAAAAAGAGATTTTTAAGTGTTTCTTTGTTTAGTACCACTAAGCAATGGGCATTTTCTGTTAAAGGCCAGTATTTAAGATATATGAATAAATAGCTTATGCTTCTATCAGAGATTATATTGAGATTATATTCATTGTTGGTTAAAGTTCTCCACCATCTGACTACCTCGACAAGGGCCTAATAATACTGGCATCTTTTAATCATTGTATTTTTCTTAGGCACTTTGGCGGGTCAGTTTAACCCATGTTCATTTGCAGCAAGCATTTAAGACATAGGAGTGAGCTAAGCAGGTTTTCCATGTGAGCCTCATCCACACCCTTGTTTCTCTCTGAATATATGTTTAGAGGCAGATGAAGTAGATTCTGAAGACAGCATTGAACCTCCCCACAAAAGGCTTTGCTTATCATCTGAAGATGACCAAAGTATTGATGACACCACTCCATGCATTTCTGTTGTTGCCGTTCCAAGTAAGTCAGTCATTGGTAACTGAAGAGCCTTGGAGCCTGATCCTAAATAAAGAAAGGAAGGTATTTGTGGGAATGTGAGTGTTGTCTCTGCTGCTGATGGTGGATGGGTTTAGTTGTCATACAAAGATACTGCAGTAATGGATGAGGCAAGCGAGGGTTGTCTACCAGAGTCTTGTACAATGGTGCCTCGCTTAACGAGGATAATCCGTTCCAGCAAAATTGCTGTAGAGCGAAATCCTTGTTAAGCGAAATAAAAAAATCCCATTGAAACACATTGAAAACCCGTTCAATGCGTTCCAATGGGCTGAATAACTCACCGTCCAGCAAAGATCTTCCATTTTAGGTGCCTGTAAAGCGAGGAATCCATCCAAAAACACAGCGGGGAGCCATTTTATACAGCGGGCAGCCATTTTGAAGCCTCCGATCAGCTGTTTTAAAAACGTCTCGCGAAAAATCATATAGCGGTTTCGTCCTTTAACGAGGCAGTCGTTAAGCGAGGCACCACTGTATAGTGAGGAAAAATACTCTGGCTGAAATATTTCTGTTAGCTCTCATTCTGATGGGGAAAGATGTTCCTTGTATATCTGGTCACTGTGAACATCTTATAGAAATTCCTTCCTTCAGTCCTTGATCACACAAAGACATGGGTTACTTGAAAATCAATTAATAGGCTATAGACTAGAGTTGGCAGATCCAAGGTGAACTAAAAAAATGGGGCTTTTGCACCAACATAGTCCTTTGTGAGCGCAGAGAAGAGGAGGCAACTTCACACCTATGTCAGTGTACTCTATCCCCCCTCATGAAAGATTTGATACTAGCTGCCCAAAATGTTCTTGATGTTGCCTATTACTGGGTGAAAATTAGCTGATATATTTATTAATTGTACCCTGGTGTTTTTGACATGAATAAAGAGAAGATGGAAACTCTTGTATCTCATGTCTTGCTCTGGAGAAGGCAAGCAGAAGGACTGACCTAGCCAGGATTGATGGCCACAGTGAAAAATCGTACTTCGAGAAGTTGATCTGTTCATCCTGCACAGGAAGGAGAGGGGAAAAGCAATATCTTCCCATAAGGTTGTGATGGGATTTCGATAAATTATGCCTCCCCTAGCCTGATTTCTGTCTTGGGACAGGTGCTTTCTGTTATACTACATATTTTGTGGTATTTCAGTGAGACTTTTTCTATATAATGTGATTCAGGTGACAGATGAACATGAATGTACTGTATATGTTGAAAGTGATCTTCACGGAGGCACCACTATAGAAATACATTAACTGCACAGTTTTAGGTGTAGTGGTGGATCATTGTTAGATGATTTCAGCCTTTGGATCGATCTCTTAAACATGCAAACTGATCAGTAGGTTGCAAATGGTGCAGAAATTGTTCCCCTTTGTAAATGATAATAGCAAAAATTCTGTTCTTCAGCATAGTAAATTGCACTAGAGTAGGCCCATAGAACCAATGGGAATTTAGTGAATCACCTATGTAAGGTCCATTGATTCAAATGGGCTTATTCTAACTGTGATTTACCAATCTAAGGTAAATTGTAGTTAGAGTATGACCTTTGAATCAATTAAACATACAGAGGAGGTGACTCGCCAAATCCCTTCTATTCATTGGGCCTACTTTAGTGCAATTTGCTACACTAGGAACAGGGTTTTGGCCAATGTAAACAGGTGGAGAAGGTCCTAATCTTAAGAGATACACTGTATGTCAGGAAAACATGCCCTTCAGCAAAGTTTAATCAAACTTTAATCAAGAACTACCTTGCAAAATATGACTGAACAGGCTTATTAAAAGGTACTATGTATTATTGAAGCATCATTTAATTTGTAAAATATGTAAAATAAAATGTTGCAGATTCTTGCATGTTAGTGAAATTAAAATAAGTTAAGGCAAGTGATACAGTCATCTAGAATCTACTGTACATATGCTTTCATATATTTTTATGTTGGTTAGGAAAGCTAATAACTTGAAATGGCTAAACAGTATTATTTTCTGTTCATTTTTAATAGATTTATGTAATAATTTTATGTTGACCATTTTGTGTGTGTTTGCAAAAGGAAATGTCAGTTGGATCTGTATTATTTTATAGAACTACATAAAACATTTCTATTTTAAATTAATTTTGAATTATCTGACTTGTTTAAAGCAGTTATAAGGTGGGAATAAAAACCCATAGTAGAGGAACTGTCAGTTCCTCAGTCTTCTGGCTCAGGCTGGCCAGAATCGGGTGAACAGGAATGATCCCTTGGTTGGTTTTTACTATGTCAGCTCTCAGGCTAGCATACTCTCCAGCTTAGTGTAGGAACATGTCAGAGGAACAAGAAAGCCCAAGACCTATAGATTGTTGGGTGCCATGATACTCATAGTTTTCCCACCTCATCTCTGTAACAGTACCTTTGGCAGCCTACTGCCTGCCAGCCTCCGACTCTATGGATGATCTTCCTCTCCATCCATGGAAATAAGGACATCCATAGTTTGTGTCATTCTTAAGATACCTTGTCAGAGACTGTCAGATCCTTGCATTGGATCATTTCAGCCTCAATAAATGTGCTTTATCTGATTTTGTACAGTGGTGCCTCACATTACAACGTTAATTTGTTCCAGCGAAATCGCTGTAGAACGAAAACGTCGTAATGCAAAAATAAAAAGCCCATTGAAACACATTGAAACCCCTTCAATACGTTCCAGTGGGCTGGAAACTCACCGTCCAGCGGAGATCCTCCATAGGGCAGCCATTTTTTGTGCCTGTGCAGCGAGGAATCCGTCTCAGAAAACAGCGGGGAGCTATTTTATTTAGCCGGCGGCCATTTTGAAACTGCCGATCAGTTGTCCTAAAATCGTCGTTTTGCGAAGAATCGGTTCCCGAAGCAGGGAACCGATCATCGCAAAGCGAAAAAAGCCCTATTCAGACCATCGCAAAAGCAATCGCAAAAACGTCATCGTAATGCGGGGCAATCATAAAGCAAGGCACCACTGTACAAAGATTGAATCTCATGTATACATTCCTTGTACAGCCCCAAAAAGTATGGTTCAAGGGAGTTGCCTAGCCTAATAGAGCAGAGCATTTTAAGTGAGTGCAAAGCACTCAACTCCATAAAACCCCTAGCAAAACTAAGCTGGAACTCACTCAGTCTTTTTTATGAGCCACTCACTCTCTATGCAAATGAAACAGTAGGAGTAGTTTCAGCTCTGCCCTTATTGCAGTGGTGTAATCTGAAAGCTTATGAATTATACTAGGACCTTAGCATATGAGCATATAAAAAGTGTTAACCTGATGTACAGGTTATACAGAGCACACTTTTGCAGTATAACCATATTCATGTTTGGTCAGTAAGGATTGTGGCCTTATTTATATAACATGTAATGCTCAGAACAGAGATCTTAGTCCCATACTGACCTTACATTTTATGTGTTTTTAAGTTTCAGAAAGTGATCAGAGCTTTGAGGTGACCATGACTGCAACTACTGAGGTAGCTGATAATGAGGTCAATGAAGGAACTGTTACTCAGATCCAGGTATAACATAGGTTAAATGCCACTTGCAGGAATCTTTGGATATGCTTCTGTGCATGCTTTATTTTCTCCTGAAGATTTAAAAAATGATATTGGTGGTAGTGACTTATCAAGACTAGTATAAATCAGTGCTGCTGTTCTTAACGTTCATTGTCTAATCAGTATATATGGACATTTTTCATTCTGAAACAAAAAACATTGTTTGATAGAGGGGGGGCTTTTACCCGTACCTCTTCTGAAACGATTATTGGAATAAACCACATTACAAGCATTTTGAAGGATTGCTTTGGGTACAAATAAGAAATATGGCTTATTCTTGAGCTGTGGCATAATATTGTTCTACAGGAGGGAAGCATTACCATATGGCACACGTTAAAGGGAAGGGGAATAAGTGTCAGGTCTACTTTCTGCAAGGCAAGGTAGGAGGTAAATGTTTATGACTGTGTTTTAACCTTTAGGGCATCATTTTGCTTTAGTAGGCAAAATCTTCTTGCATAACTTTGTGCCCGTGTATACTGGATTAGGATACACACCCTCTTTCAAATTCCAAGGCTCCCAAGGCCTCTCTTTGGCCCTGGGGAAACCTTTGGGAACTATGAAAGGGGTGGGGTGGACTTTAAAAGTCAAAAAACAATCCAGGTTAAGTTTTTACTTTTAATGTCCCCACCCCACCCCCGGCCATTCTGAAGCTTTGTGAAAGCTTCCTTAGGGCAAAAGGGATCCCTATAGAGATGTGGAAGCTGAAACAGGGATAAGAAACTTTAAATTCATTCAAATTATTTCTGGCATCCCAATTCAATTTATGCAATTGCAGCTGTTCCAACTAGATTTTTTCCCAGTATAATTAATGGGAATTCCAGAATAATCAAATTCAGTATATAACCACTGTGAGATATCAATAGTTTTAATTCTTAACAGTTAAGTATTTCATGGCAGTGAATGTCAGTTTGGAGAGCTGTTTGATTTACCTTTCCCAGATTCTCCAGAATGAACAACTGGATGAAATCTCTTCCCTAGGCAACGAAGAAGTGTCAGCAGTCAGTCAGGCCTGGTTTACAACCAAAGAGGATAAGGATTCTTTAACAAACAAAGGTATGTTCACCTTCTCTCATTATAACACATATGCTTATATTTGTATAAAAAATGTCATATGAATGAATTCTGAACCACATGTTTATTTGTGTAGCCTGTGCAAATCTGATTGGCCATAGCCCATTACCAACATTGACACTTACCAAAATTCTGTACATTCTGCCACATAATCTTATTCATTCATTCATTCATTCATTCATTCATTCATTCATTCATTCATTCATTCATTCATTCATTCATTCATCCATCCATTCATTCATTCATTCAGTTTGTATCCTGCTCCCATTAGTGCAGTAGCAAATGTAAATAGAAATATTAAAGATGATAACAAAAACCCTCTTTAAAAAGGGAAAAAAACAGATGGCACTGACTAATCTAAGAGCTGATGGAGGAAAAGAATGGAGGGGAGGGAAGGGGGAGAAGAGGGGAGGAAGAAGGTCAGCTGAGGTTGGTGTGCAAATTGTAAGCCAGGGCGATTTTTTGGAAATTCAACATTTTCTCCTCCCATCCTTTGGCTGCTATTAATCCTTTTCATTGAAAAGTCATCAGGGGAGGGCATCAATTATCAGTAACTGAAGACTTCCCCTCCATCTTGCAGCCTGCACAGGTTCCTAACCATGCAAGGGATTACTTGGGATCTCTGGGGGGGCTATGGGGTGGGAGGAGAAAATGTTGAATTTCAGAAAAATTGCTCTATCTGACAGTGTCATTAGTCTTACATTGCAGAAATTACACAAATAAGGTTTCAGCTAATATATGGCAAAAGTAGAAGAATTTAAAAGGAATTTAATGAAAAAAACCCAAATGTTTTGTTTATGAGAGAAACATAATGCAAGTTTATGTACATTTGACTTAACAGAACAAGTGGATTTTTATTTATTTTATTTTTAACTTGATTACTGTGATATTCCAGCCCTTTTGTTGTCTGGAAATGCTGGAAACTTTGTTAACCATTATTAGGACACAACTCATCTGCAGTAAATTGCTACATTTTGATTATATATGTAAGGTTTGAATTCTTGTATGCAAGATATCTCTACTGTTATGTGTTTGTTAAATCATGACCACACACATAAAGCCATTCCACATGGAATCTTCTTAGAATATAATGGGGAAATTTATACTGTGTGATTAAGTGCCTTGGATCCATTGAGCTGCTAACAGTCCCTATCTCAACTAGCAATGGAGATCTAATGCCTAATATGTACCCTATGCAAGAAAGTTCCCCTTGATTTTGACAACTAAGGGTGTGCAGCTTTTGTGATAGTTTCTTCTGCTCTTTTAAGGTCATAAATGGAAACAGGGAATGTGGTCAAAAGAAGAAATAGACATTTTGATGAGCAACATTGAACGTTATTTAAAGGTTTGTGTTGCAGTCAGTTACTGTGCTGGTTTCAGTGGTCAATCTCTTCTGTGTTATACATTTTAGATCGTTCATTGCCTTGGTTTAGAGGCAATGATTTAGAAACTGACTTCCCATCAATGGAATGCCATATACACAGGAGGGCTTTTCCACAGGCTCTGGATTGTGGCCCCCAATTCATTGAAAAGCTAGTCCTAAGTGTCAGTGCTCCCCCTCCGCCACAAAAGGGTGCACAGAGATAAAATTAGGAAAGCCCTGTGGCATGAATTTGGATCCAAACCATTAATTCTATTGAGTTGGAGCCAGAGCAAGTCATACTTAGAGTAGCCCTATTAATAGCAGTAAAGATTTAACATTGATATGACTAACTTGTTCCATTGATCTTAGTGGGCCTACTCTAAGCATGACTAAACTCGGGTTCATAGCTTGGGTGTACTCCTGGATTCATCCCTCAACCTGGATGCCCAGGTTTTGTCAGTGTGTTTAAGTGTTCTTTTGTGCAAATAGTATTTTAGAAACTAATGCAGTGATGCAATAAAAATGGGTGTTCTCCGCTGCTCCTTTTTCTGAGTCTTTCATACCTGCAAAACCTAGATCCGCTATGTTCTGCTGAATGTTTTCCATATTGAAAGCGAGCAAAGATTGTCATAAAAATGCATAGAGAAACCAGCCCTCTGCTTCACCACATAAATCCCATATCCCAAAGCTGCTGTTGCTTGCCAGCGACTTTCTGTATACCTTAAAAACCTGCTCTGGAGGGCTAGGAAATTCTGCAGAACCAATCTTGGCACTTCTGAACTGGACTGCAGAGGGAGGGAATGAACCAGTTTTTCAAGTGCTGGATATGAAAGAGGCGGTAATTCTGCCACTCCTTAAAAAGCCTAACCTGGATCCAAGGCTGGTGGTTAACTACCGACCAGTGGCGATCTTCCCTTATTTGGGCAAAGTGTTGGAGCGGGTTGTGGCCGGGCAACTCCAGGCGTTGCTGGATGAAACAGATTTTCTGGACCCATTTCAATTGGGTTTCAGGCTGGGTTTTGGTACGAAGACTGCCTTGGTCGCCCTGTACGATGACCTTTGCTGAGAAAGAGACAGGGGGAGTACGACCCTGTTGATACTCATGGACCTCTCAGCGGCTTTCGACACCATTGACCATGGTGTCCTGGATAGGCTGGCTGGGTTAGGAGTTGGGGGCACCGCTTTATGATGGTTCCGCTCCTTCCTGGCTGACCATGTCCAGAGGGTGGTGCTGGGGGACAGTTGCTCTGTCCCATGGCATTTATGTCATGGAGTTCCTCAGGGCTCGATACTGTCCCCCATGCTGTTTAATATCTACATGAAACCACTAGGAGAGGTCATCAGGAGGTTTGGGCTGAGGAGTCAGCGATATGCTGACAACACTCAGCTCTATCTCTCGGTTTCCACCAATCCAGGTGAGGCGGTTTCTGTGCTGACCTCGTGTCTGGACCTGATAATGGACTGGATGAGGGTTAATAAGTTGAAACTCAGTCCAAACAAGATGGAAGTGCAGTTAGTGGGTGTGTTCCTGTACAGGCTGGAGGGCCATTTCCCTGCCCTGAATGGGGTTACACTCCCCCTAAGGGACAGGGTCCGCAGTCTGGGGGTGCTCCTGGACCCCAGTCTAACTCTGGAATCCCAGGTGGACTCGGTGGACAGAGGTGCCTTCCTTCAGCTGTGAAAATTATACCAGCTATGGCCCTACCTGGACGAGTGGAGTCTCATGACAATTACACACACACTGGTAACATCTCGCATAGATTACTCCAATGCGCTCTACATGGGGCTGCCTTTGGAGACGGTCCGGTGACTGCAACTGGTCCAGAATCAAGCTGCATGGCTGGTGAGTGGTGGGGCTGCTAGGGGACACATCAAGCCAATTCTGTTTAAATGACATTGGCTACCAGTTGCTGCCTGGGTCCAATTCAAAGTGCTTGTTTTGACATATAAAGCCCTAAACAGCTTGGGCCCTGAATACCTGAAGGACCGCCTCCTTCCATCTGACCCTAGCCAGCAGTTATGATCTAGTCAGGGGGACCTTTTGAAAGAGCCGTCCCTCAAGGAGGTGAGAGTGATGGCTTGTAGACAAAGGGCCTTTTCGGCAGCTGCCCCCAGACTATGGAATGCCTTCCCAAGGGAGATTCATCTGGCGCCGACACTGATGACATTTCGGCGCCAGGTCAAAACCTTCCTGTTCCAGAAGCCTTTTAATTGAAATAATAACTGTGGGTCCTGATGGCAATTTTTAGAGTATATATTTTAATTGTATTTTAATTGTTTTATCTTTTTTACTGTATTTTAATTGTTGTAAGCCGTCCATAGACCTTGGGTAGTGTGGGCAGCATATAAGTTAAAATAAATAAATAAATATGGAGATGCATCAGTAGATCTCGTTAAATGTGTTAATTACCAGCCTCTTGATGTAACTAGGCACGCGGAATAAAAGATGCCACTGAAATCATCTTTGAGATGTCAAAAGATGAAAGGAAAGATTTCTACCGGACCATTGCCTGGGGTCTGAACCGGCCTCTCTTTGCTGTTTATAGAAGAGTACTTCGCATGTATGATGATCGAAACCACGTTGGCAAGTATGAAACCTCCTAACATTTGACCCAATAGGTATGCCTAGGGTCATGAAGGACCTGTTTCTGCTTTTAAGTCATACCAGCCTATTATGACCTAAAAATAAAGATGGGAGATCAACTTGGAAAAAAATAATGGATCATTAAATGATTAAGTGACCCGAATAAATAACTTCCTATAGCTGTAATGCCATGATTTGAAATCCTCAGTTTTAGTAAGTTTGAAAAGTCTAAATTGATTTTTAGAACCTACTTGGAGTAGGACACGGGTTGAGACATGCAACAGTCACTCACTGTTGCATTTATAAAATTACACAAACTTGGGTCTACAGACACTAGTATCTCTGCTTATGTACACCACACTAGCATGATCTGTCTACTTCTTTTAATGTATCTTAGATTATATTTAGATTCATGGTCACATATGAAGCTATGTACAGTGGCCAGAGAGAGAAGTGCCTGAATTTGGGATTGGCTCTCATACTCCCATTATGTGTAGGAGTTAAATACTGGGGATCAAGATGAGGGCTTTCTGAATTTCTTCTTCTGAAATGTTTAGATAAATTAATAGTTGGCAGATTCTTTATATTATCAACATGGCACATTCTTTATATTATCAGCATGTTAGATTATTGTTCTGATGTCTTATAAAACCACATAGGCATGTGAATTTCCACCTTTAAATATAACACTGTGCACATGTGAGCTATAGATGCTGTAAAATTATATGTTGATAGTGTTGGTGACTGGTATTGTTATTTATGGATGTTTACATAATCTGCCACTCAGAACCGGGCCTTCTCAGTGGTCACTCCATCACTTTGGAACTCACTCCCACCTGAGGTACTGTTAGCCCCATCCCTCCTTTGTTTCGGGAGGAAACCTGGCTTTTTTCACAAGCCTTCTGTGGCCTTACCCCAGAGTAATCTTGTTGATCAATGGGGCTCCTACTCCCCTTTGTATATATATATATCTGCCCTGTTTTCTCTAACTCTACTGTAGTTAATATTTTTAGCATTGTATAATCTGTATATATAATTACTAGTTATTTTATCTATCTTTTGTTATTATGTTCCACATTTATCAGTTATGTATGTGTTATTGTGGTTGTTTTGTTGAGTTATTATGATTTGTTTGCTGCCCAGAGTAGTGGCTTAGCCATTAGTTGGGCGGGAGGGAAGGATCTATCTATCTATCTCTGTGATGTCATCATGGAGGAGTGGAAGAGGACTCCAGTGGCAACCTGTGAAGCTCTGGTGAACTCTATGCCCAAGAGGGTTAAGGCAGTGCTGGAAAATAATGGTGGCCACACAAAATATTGACACTTTGTGCCCAATTTGAACATTGTCACTTAGGGGTGTACTCACTTTTGTTGCCAGTGGTTTACCCATTAATAGCTGTGTCTTGCTTTATTTTGAGGGGACAGCACATTTACACTGTTATACAAGCTGTATATTCACTGGTTTACATTGTAGCCAAGTGTCATTTCTTCGGTGTCACATGAAAAGATATATGAAAATATTTATGAAATGTGAGCAGATGTACTCACTTCTGTGATACACTGTATCTATCCTGTCAAAACCCATGTCCAGTTGTTTCTTCAGCCCGTTTGATTATTTATTTTATTTATTTATTTACAATATTTTTTAGCCGCACCATTGCCTTATTTTTCTGTGTATAAGATGCCCCATGTATAAAACACACCCTACTTTTCTAAATCAAAATTTCTTTCTTTGCAAGAAAGTGGAGGGGAAAAGTTCTTGCGTTCCCCCTACATTTTTGTTGCAAAAAGCAGCTTCCCCCCTCCAGGGTTTGCAAAGAAAATGCTGGGGGAAAGCAATTTCTGCTTTCCCCCTACATTTTTGTTGCAAAAAACTGCTTTCCCACTCCATGTTTTCCAAAGAAAATGCTGGGGGAAAGCAATTTCTGCTTTCCCCCTACATTTTTGTTGCAAATGTTTTGCAGTGAAAATCTAGGGGTAGAGTAGGAATCGCTTTCCCCCTCCATTTTCTTTGCAAAACCTAGAGGGGGAAAGATGCTTTTTTGCAACAAAAATGTAGGGGGAAAGCATAAATCACTTTCCCCCTGCATTTTCTTTGCAAAACCTGGAGGGGGAGACAGGGATCAAAGCACTTCGATCCCTCTCCCCCTTTACTTCCGAGTATAAAATGACCCTCAATTTTTCTTTTAATTATTTTAAGAAAAAGTGTTGTTTTATACATGGAAAAATACAGTAGTTATTCCCAGCCTTGAAATAGCAAACTAGTAGGTCATGATGTTGCTAACTGCTCATTTAGATGGGGTCATGCAGACTGTAGCCTTGTGCGATCTACTTGATTTTTCCCTAAAAGTGAACCAAAGCCTGATGTAAGACACCTAGAATTTAAAAAAATTCTGAACTCAGGAATTCATTTTGAATGACGTTGTATGAAAACTAACTCCTGGTTACACCAGGCTTTCTCCATTACAGCAGTTCCGTTTTAGGGTGGAGAAGTCCTTTTGTTTTTGCTAATGCTGGAAGTCAGAACTCCTTGCCAATTTGTTGTGATCACCAGGAGATTTATGAGGAAATCCATAGCTACCTTTGTCCCACCTAGCCCCAAACAGTCAGATATATTGGGACTCAATCCAGAAAGAATGGAGGAATTCTTCATGGGTAGTTTATCCATTGAACTTCCCCAGATGATAATTTCTCTTGCATTGCCCTTAGAAACAAGTGACTTTTCTGCTTCCTTTACATTTATATAGCCTATTATACCTTCTGCAGTCATATTTATTTATTGATTTGATTGATTGATTGATTGATTGATTGATTGATTGATTGATTGATTGATTGATTGATTGATTGATTGATTGATTGATTGATTTATATCCCGTCCATCTGGTCTGGTCGACCACTCTGGATGTAGATTTGGATGTAAATAGTCAAACCACCTGTTTTATTACCATGTATTTATTGTACATGTAGCTGTAAAATCTAAATGTTGAAAAATTCTGTTTATGTATGTGTTAATTAAATGTGCTGTTTATTTTTCTCAGGTACACTCCTGATGAAATTGAAAAGCTCAAAGAGTAAGTTTTATTTTCTGTTATTCATATCTTTCAAACTGTTGAGAGGTACCTCATGATCTTTTCCCAGAAAGCTATTTCTAAAGCTTTGAAAACTAGTCATGCTGGCTGGGGAATTCTGGGAGCTGTAGTCAAAAAAACATAGCTTATCCAAGCTGTGCTTATTTCAGCCTTTAGCTACAGCAGTAGTTCTTAACCTGGGTGATATCGGCCCCCAGGGGGCAATTTTGTTTTTCAGAGGGCAATGGAATGAAAAGGGGCAACACGGGGCGAAGGAACAAAAGGGGGGCAATGGAGCCGCTGTGCCGTCACTGCCATTGAGGAAGTTATCATCGCCTCCCTCCTCATGGCGGCACCGCCACCACCACACCGCGGCTGCGGGGAGGGGGCCAATGATGACTTCCTCAATGGCTCAAAGGGGCATTTCTTTCAAACAGGTTAAGAACCACTAAGCTAGAGCCCCATGAACTGATTCTCATTTCTGAAGGTGCCATTTGATATTGCCCTCTGTTTAAAGAGGCAGCAAAATTTGAGGGAATAGATAGCAGCACTAGAAAGTGAGGGATGCAAAGTGAGCCCTCCCTGCTGTCTTCACCATTGCACAGGAGGAGGATTTTAAGGCATATTATTTTTATTTTCTGTAGGGCAGATCACGAGAGCGTGATCTGCCCCAGAGTCTTTCACATTGCCTTTGGCATGACTGATGCCATGCTTTGCACAATTCCATACTACAACCCCAGTGTCTCATTTCTTTCTTTGTTCTTCAGGAAGACTTAGTAGTAGTAGCTTGAGAGCAGTGTGGATAAATAGGCAAAATATATATATAAATCAATAAATTTACCTGTCTGTGTAATTGAGGCCTCTGGATGTCAGATACCAGCCTTAACATATTTTGAAATTGCCCCTTCTTCTCCCTTGTTGTATTACCAGATATTGACCAGAGTCCTGTTGCCATGCATAATAAATTACACTTGAGTAGGCTCATTGAATCAGTGAGAATTTGCTCCTGCATAAGTTCTATTGATTCAAATGGGTCTACTCTAACTGCTACTTACTATGCTAACGTAAGTAAAAAAATAAGAGTAAGCCTGTTTGAATCAATGGAATATAAGGAGGAGCTGACCCACCGAATCTCCATTGATTCAGTGGGCCTACTACACTAAGCAACACTACTACACACTAAGCAACAGGATTATGGCCAATAAGGCAAAAGCTGCTATGTACTAGGTGGTTGCATATTCATTGGAAAGGGTCCTTGTTCCTTTGCACAAAAAAAAAGGTGGGGAGGGGAATATAATGATTTGGTAATGAAACATAAAGCTATCTTGAGTTTTTGCCACACCCCAGCAGTGTATAGGACACGCCTAGGGTTGGTTGAAAGACTTTAAGATGATCTCACTGAGTTTTTTGTTGAACAAACTATATTGAATGATGTTGGGGGTTAGTGCTGTTAGCACAGGAGTGTACAGACATGTACAGTTGCTCTGTTTAATAGTATTCTAACAGATAATAAAAAAATATTAAAAATTTATTTGGTACTGTAATCTGGTTTGAGAAACTAAGGTGAGAAGGCAGTGAATACTGGTTAAAAATAGATGATTAAATGCAGTGTAGCACTTATGTCTGACATTTAGTTGGTTGCTGTGCTCTATGCCTAAAATGAGTTGCTTGTATAATAAATGGAATTTTAAGGAGGGACGTTCTTCCTTGCCTCCAGAATGCCTCAAGGTTGGTAAATGCTACTGAGTTTAAGAAGACCACGTATCTCTGAAATGCATTAAAGCCTCCCTGATATTAGTTAAAGAGAGGTCTGTTTGTTGTATGAATGGTTACCTGGGTTTCTTATAATCCACAATGCAACTTCCATAGGCCTACTGTGCAGTTGACTGATATGCATGGTACTTGTACACGATACTAACACACTTTTCCCACTTAGGCTAAGGATAAAGCATGGTAATGACTGGGCAACCATAGGAGCTGCCCTTGGAAGAAGTGCTTCTTCAGTAAAAGACCGATGCAGGCTGATGAAGGACACCTGCAATACGGGTATAAATGTTAAAATAAAGTAATCAGCAAAAAGGAAAAACTAGCTATGCCTGCAGAATTTTCCCACTGTAAAGAGTTTAGTGGACCAATAGATTGAAGAAAAGATCTGTATCCTCTTTATCAGGAGAAATGTAAAATGTTTTCCAATAAATAATGCTTTTAGGTTATAACGTTCTTTTGTATACTCGCCAGTCAGCACTATGGCCTGGAAGGCAGAGGGACACTGACATTTATTTATGCATTTATTTGTCCATTCATTGGTTTTCTATCCATCCTTTCTCTCGAAGGTGAACTTTCTGTAGTATTGAATAAAACAAACTATGAAACGTGGTCAAAAGATTAAAACAGAATTCAGTCGAATTTTAAAACAATTAAAAATGCATATTCAAAACTTAACAGTAAGAAAAAAATGGTCCCTAAGTGATAATAAGCCTCTTCTTTGATAGTCAGTCAGCTGCTAAAAGCATATCTGAATGGAAAAAACCCTATGTGGTAGAAGAAGAACAAAGGGGAGGGGAGGTGTGTGTTTCATGGCCTGCTGGAAGCAGTGCTGACAGCAAATTCCATACAGTTCCCTGGATTTCATATTTGTTCTTGGTCTCTGTATAACAATCCCGTGTATCCTCTGCCTTCCTTTCTCCCAAATATGTTGGCTTCAGTGTTTGAAAAGGGAGCTGTCCAAGGTACTTCGAAGACTGGTAAATACCATTTTGATTTTTGCCTTTGTGGCAGTATGGTTTTTACACAAAAACATTCCCTTCAGTGTTGCATAGGTAGCACACAGGGAGTGCCTTATCTCATGGGAAGTCCAGATGATATGGTCCTTCCCACATCCCCCCACCCCCACCCTGCCTCTGCTCCTCAGTCTGGTAGGTTTGCTGAAAGAAGTTATCTGAATGAGTTAGCCATTTGATGTAGAACATCCTTTAGTTGTGGAGATAGAAAGTAACTGGCATCAGCAGGACGTGTAAGGAAGATTATATTTTCCATTGTTCATATACTGAATTTCATTGGCCAGTTGATTATCCACCCTCACCATATTAAAAGGCTGAAAGCTACTATATAGAGCAACTGTGTCTCTAACATTTGCTGGATTATAGATTGTAGACATAATATCAGATGCCTCTGACATATTCAGCAGGGTTTTTAAAAGAATCTAAATTGTATTCCAACAGCTAGATTTGATTGACCATAAGACTGGCAAGAGCAGTTCATTTATTTAATCATTTTAAAATCTTAGAGGTATTGAAAGCTTCCTGAAGTAAATTTATTATTGTTGTTATTGGAAAGAACAAAAGATAATTGGGAACTGTGTGCCTAGGTCCTAGGGAAACAATGCATAACTCTTCGATGCCATATGTTACCTACATTTAAAGAAAAAAATATTTCAGGAAAATGGACAGAAGAAGAAGAAAAGAGACTAGCAGAAGTGGTCCATGAATTAACTAGCACAGAGCCTGGTGATATTGTCACACAAGGTGTATCGTGGGCTGCTGTCGCAGAACGAGTTGGAACAAGATCTGAAAAGCAGTGTCGCTCCAAATGGCTCAACTACCTAAACTGGAAGCAGAGTGGAGGAACTGAATGGACTAAGGAGGACGAAATAAACCTGATCCTTAGGTTTGTGCCCCCTTTTCATGGAAAAAAATTGAATTTAGATGGAGAAGTGGATTTAAAAATACAGAGGCAGGATTCCCTTGGTGTCTCTTATTTTGACTTTTATAGTGTTGTAATATCTTTCAAAAACCTGTTCCTGGTTCACAGACATGATAGCTGAATGTTCTTGCTTAGACTCATATTTTAAAAACTGAATGTTAGTGTTGGGGGAGGGAGGGAGGGAGGGAGGGAGGGAGAAATCTTCTGTGGATGTGCAGTCTGGAGGTTCTGGGAGTTGTAGTCCAAAACAGGAAAGTTTCCACACTCTGCATGCAAGTAGGCTACAGTCATCAGTGATGAGTAGTTAATTCCCTAAGTGTGCTTCTGTGTGCTGCCTTCCAGAAGTTTGAATTCTGTGTGGTAGTGATTTCTGTACTACCCACTAGGAGTCACTCTTGAGACCATATTTTACTATTTTGAGGACAAATATATCATTGTAGCTATACTTCAGTGCTGCTATGTTATTGTGCATGAGAGCATATCAACATTCTACAAGGCAATTCTAAAAACGGGGGGAGTCTAAACAAACAATTATAATGTATTCGCGAAGGCTTTCACGGCCGGGATCTGTGCTGTCCTCTGAAGATGCCGGCCACAGAGACTGGCGAAACGTTAGGAAGAACAACCTTCAGAACACGGCCAAAGAGCCTGAAAAACCCACAACAACCAAACAATTATAACTTTGAAACTGGGCTTTAGAGCTGCACCAAATTTGTTGCAGTTGGAGCACACAGCCTGCTCTTGCTGTATGCCAAATTTGGTGAACTTGGGCAAAGTGTTTTCAAATATCATTTTTAAAAAATTAAAACTATTGCCCACCCTGTGAAGAAATCAACTCTAAACATCCCCAGATTTAAAATAGCAAATACAAATTGAAAAAACCAACCTTGCTTATCTTGAAGGAGAATGGTTCTTCCAATCTGCTTTAAAAAAATGGACAGAATCCAGGCTGCAGGAGCTGAAATATTGATCGTCAAAAAAGACCTTTTAAAGGGGGAAAACAGTGTATTTTTATAAGATGGGGGGCATGTATGGAGCAGGCTTACCAGCAAGAATGTTGCAAAGTAGATACATTGTTGCAGCTTTGTGGGGGGAAGACTGTAGGGCAGTTAAAAGTTCACAGAAACGGACTGAAAAGTCATGTTTTCTTTGAAGAGTAAAGAAAAGCCCTGCCTTCCCTGCACACGGATCCCGTCCTCCCTCAACTGGCCCGCAGTGTCAAAAAGGTTGGGGACTACTGGTCTACAGCAGAGGTCCCCAACCCCTGGTCCATGGCCCAGTGCTGGTCCATGGGCTGAGCCGGACCAGGCCATGGAGACAGACCTCCTGCCCCCCCCCACCTGACTTGCACATGTGGACACGCTCCAGTGCACCTGTGCGAGCGCCACACCACTGTTTGCACATGCATGTGCCACGCTGCTGTTTGCGCATGCACGCTCATTTGTGCGTGAAAGAGTGCTGGCTCATTCGCACATGTGCACGAGCACTGGGGGTGCCCCGCCTTCCCCAGCTGGTCTACGGGGTGAAAAAGGTTGGGGACCCCTGGTTTACAATATACCCTCTCATGCTCACTACCATTCATTGAAAAACAGCCGTACATTGAAAAACAGTCCTGACAGTTGCTTTGTGTTTGGGTGAGAAATAGTTAACTGATGAAAAAAGGAATCAACTCTTGGGATTTTCCCTTGCTTGGTGTCACTTTGTGGTAGTGAGCACAAGGGGATATCCTGTAGACCAGTGATGGGGAACTTACGGTACATGTGCCACAGCTGGTACTCAGAACCCTCTCTGTGAGCTTGTGAGCCATAAGTCACCATCAAGAAATACCCATCCTCCGATCCTGGCTTTTGGGAGGAACTCTTCGGAATGGAGGGAGAGCCAAGACGGCAGTGGCCGCCACCACCACAAACACACATACAGACACGCACTCAGATGCCAGGCATGGAAACATCCGACTCCTGCCACCTGCACCTTTAAGGATTGCAGCCAGAGGTGGATTCGGGAGTGTCCCAGGCAGGCACTGGATGTTGTGCAGCCAAAGGAGTGGGACTCTTCAGGGTGGTTGTTGGTTTTGTGTTGGAGTTTGGGCACTGCTGTAGACCATCTTAACTGCTGTCATTGATGTTGTCAACATTCAGGCTGCCCCTTGAATACATGGCAAAATGTCCCTTTCTGGAGAACTATCACTTTGCTATATAAAGCTTGGCATCCTTTTTCCTTCTGCCAACAGGGGCATAATATTGTGCAGCAATATCATGTCATTTCCTGGCGTTTTGAATCATGGATACGGAAGCACAATATCCACATTCATAAATCAGTTTTTTTTTTAAAAAAGAATTGAATCAGTTATTGGGCAACCTGGTAGTTTATCAGTCTTATGAACTGATAAGGATAGGAACCGTGCAATGTTTCTTCTGTACTAGAAGCTGTTTTCTCTGACACATACTTTCCTGCTCCTCTTGTAATCCTGTCAGAATAGCAGAGCTTGAAGTATCTGATGAGAATGATATCAATTGGGATTTGCTGGCTGAAGGCTGGAGCAGCGTGCGCTCACCACAATGGCTTCGCAGTAAATGGTGGACAATCAAGAGGCAGATTGCAAACCACAAAGAGGTTTCATTTCCTGGTAAATTGTGGAAAATTATACTTGCTGTGTTCCTCTTTGTTCAGAAATCCACCTTCATTGTTCGAATGCAGTAGTAGCTGGGTAGCTGAAGTGTTTCAAAGCAAAATGGGGAAACGCAAGTGCAATTATACAATATTAAATCTTGTGGAATTAATTACGGGGCCTTAAAGTGCCACTGGTGGTGGTGGTTTAAAACCTCTGTGGTAGAACTGATGTTTAGAGAGAGAAAAATGTATTTTCCTAACTGACTTTTTTCTTCATTTTCTTGAAACCATCAAGACTCTGAGGGAGGGGGCACCTCAGATTCCCCCATACGTAGAAGGAGAGAGACTTTGTACTCTAGAGAGGGACCATGCCTTGAAATGTTGGGTGACAGACTCCTGATTATTTTTCCAGAGGACATGAGGCCTCCCTCAAGCTTGCCCGTTTTCCCTCCTATCTCATGGAGAGAGGCAGCTCCTTGTTCACACTAGAAGCCACGTGTCCTTTTGTTCTGACTACTAGCTTCCAATAGCTAACTGTGGTTTCTTTGTTTTGTCAGTTCTTATTAAAGGCCTGAAGCAGCTCAATGAAAGTCAGAAAAACACTCCAGGGCACCAGCTTTCAGAGAACAAATCTTTGCCTGGGTTGCCAAATGCTCATTCTGGTTCTGGAGTTCAGCATGTTCAGATCCGGGTGGCTCGGTTGGATGAGAATTCAAGCAGCTCTCCAGGCCCAATGGCAGCTTTACAGATACCAGTCCAGATTACCCATGTCTGTAAGTAGTTGAACTTGGATTGGCAGCAAGCTGACCTGTTGCCTGCCCCTTGCAAACAAACAAACCAGCAAACCAGCCATGTTGTACATGTATAATTCCACTCTCTCACATAACCAGCGATAAGCAGAATGCAATAGTATGCCACATGGTATACACTTGTAACCAAATTCAGACAGTACAAATGGTGCAGCTTTGCTCTTATGGAATGGCAATGTGAGCCTTAACGAGATGGAAGGCCGAACAGGTATCTTCCATTCAGGGATGGCAAAGAGTTCACTTGATATGATGAGGTTTTGCCTTTGCTGTTCCCAAGAGTGAATGTGATTACTATGATTGTAGCTGGCAGGTTACACTGATATGTAGCATGTTGGTGACAGGACAGTAAGAGAGCAGAGATGGCTAGTGTGGCATGTAACCACACAAACCACCGTGAGCTTAAAGGCTGAATATTAATGTAATATTAGGAGTGATATGGGTAGGTGGGGCTCATCAGCCCCGGAAGGCAGCCGAGTTCAAAACTCCGATTTCAAACCTCCACTGCCTTGTGGCTATATCCACTGATGGAAACGGCTTCAGGAGTTAACGAGGCAAAATCCGGAGCCAGAGTCCCAGATGCGGTTCGTGTCGTTCTGACGTCACTCCTGTGACGTCGCTGGAACCAGTTGTATTGGCTCTTGCCTTTCCATTGGACTATTTCAGCGATGTGGAGAGGGGGGATTTGCTGCTTGGGTAACAGCCTATCCTCCATATTATTTTACCCAGGCTTCGTGCTCTGGAGAGGACACTCCAGCTTCGCACACAGTGTCGAAGCAAAATCAGGGAACTGGACAGGGAAGAGCTTGTATTTATCTTCAGTGTGGAGGGGACTGTCACTCTCGAATTGGCCTTCTCAGCTGTTCCACATCCTCCATACAAAGCACATTACCATAATCTCTTGAGACTGAAGGATGCCTACACTGAGGAGTGATATGGAAGCAAGACAGTAGACACTAGTGCCAGTGTTTTTTTGTTTTTTGTTTTTTGGGGGGTAACATCCCACTGTATCAGCACTATTGCCAATGTACATAATGGACAAAGTGATCCTGTGGAAGGCACCAGAGTAGCTAGTCTTTGTGTAATTAGTTGATCGTAGTCTATTTTGGTGCAGAAAATTGCATCCAGTACCTACGTAGGTTCTTAACCTTTGTTACTCGGATGTTTTTGAACTGCAACTCCCAGAAACCCCAGCCAGCACAGTTGGTGGTGAAGGCTTCTGGGAGTTGCAGTCCAAAACTCCTGAGTAACCCAAGGTTAAGAACAAGTGATCCAGTAGAAAGCAGTAGCATGTACCTGTATGCATAAATGGACAGAGAGTTTAAAGAATGAAAAAAAATCTGATAAAAGAGCCAGATTATTATCTTAGAAGCTTAGAAAATTGTGTTGCGTTTTTCTGTTTTGTGCTTTGTTTTGTTTCATTTATTAGTCCCAGAATCTGTGGTCACTTTGATTGAGGGATTCTGGGAGATTAAGACAGTAACTTTCCCAAAGTCTGGTACTCAGACTGTTTCTGTTACTACTCCTCACAGAATGAAGATGTGGGGATACACTGTTAGGGATCAGAGGAAGCAGCCTTATTTTGTCTCAGGCCTGTTTAGCCCAATATTCCCAACTTCAGGGTTTCAGGCAGGATCCCTTACCTATCCTGCTTGGATATCTCTACTATTTCTTGTGATCTCCCCTCTGGAACTAACTGTGCTTGGTTCATGAAATTAGATGAGACTGAGTGTGTTCAGAGGATTTTGAACCAGGTGCTCTGTTCCTGAAACTAGGAAAACATTGCCCTGTGAAGAGATCAAGCTAGAGATCCTCCTTATGTCAGCTGCTGTCCTCTTCTTGGAGGAAAAGGAAGAACAGAAGTGCAATTAATCAGGAAGAAACATTATTCCCACACACTTCATGCATACCCATGCACATCACTCCTTTAACTTCCCTAAGACACTTTTTGCGCATTGAAAGAATTCCCGGAACGTTTCTTACAGAGACGTATTGTCTCATGGGCTTCCATAAGCAAAAAGTTAATAAGTTGAGGTATAAACACCCACACTTTAAGGTATCGTCTTCTTTCAAGCCTTTAACTCTATGCTGCTACCATTCATCTCTTATGCCATTATTGTACGCTTGTTTTTCTGCCACATTCTCTGCATTCAATAGCAGTAGTAATGCTGCTTTCCCTGAAGAAAGTGAAAGCTATTAGCTCCGATTGTTGATTTCTTGATGTACAGGTTTAATTTCCCTGCTATCTGCTTTCCCATCTGGGCAGAACCATCCTGGCAACCTGCATCGTTCAGTTCTGCTCTCTCTCTCTCTGTCAGTTAAAATACATCAAGATTTATTTGTGTATGTTTTTCCCTCTTACTTCCATAGCTTCTGCTGACTCTCCTGCTGCTTCTGTTGACTCTGAGACTATAACGCTAAATAGCGGAACATTACAGACCTTTGAGATTCTGCCAGTAAGTACTTCAGAACTGGCCCAGTGACATCCCACAGAAACTGGTTTGTCCCTTTGCAGTTAAAGGCCTTGAATAGCATTTTAAAAACAGGATATAGGAGTCTGAAGGGGAGGTGAAGTAGCCTAAATCCAGATTGAATTAGATCCACTGAACTGGTTGGTAAACGGTGAGCCAACACTTATGTAATCCCACTGATTCAGTGGGTCTCCTCTACATAAGAGCATCAGTTGGATTCAAGCCTGCATCGTTTAAGAGCCGTTATATTACATTGTAAAAATAATGAGTGCCAGTTGGCACCATCTTATAGTGGAAATAGCATTGGAAGCTTTAAAACAAGGTCAAGAAACTGTTTTCTGGTTTGACATTATCTGCATTTGGAGTGTTCACAATATTACAGGTACCTTGAGATAACAGAGAGTGAATCACATGGAACCTGTAGGACTTATATTTGGCCATGCTGGCTGGAAGATTCTGGGAATTATAGTCCCAAAAAAAGTAAAAATTTTCAAATTCTGCTTTAGAAGAAGTGTTCTGGTGCTGCTATATACCTTTTCTCTCTTGTCTTAGTCTTTCCATCTACAGCCAACTGGTACTCCGGGCACTTACTTACTCCAAACAAGCTCCAGCCAGGGACTGCCTCTGACGCTGACCACCAGTCCAACAGTCACCTTAACAGCCGCTGCTGCACCAGCCTCACCAGACCAGATCATTGTCCATGCCTTGTCTGTGAGTATCTTTTGAGATGGAGAAGGGCAAGGGAGGCCAAGAGCCAGAGGCTTTAGAGTTACCGCTAAGTTCAGATGGAGTAGCTGTCACAGGCTCCAAAATCAGAGTCCAAATATGATAAACAAAGATATTGCACCAGTTTGGAAGAGTAGTAACCTATGTTTTTAAGCATGCACCGAATGTATGTGTTAGTTCTGTATATGACAAGGGATCTTTACCCAGTGGGGCGAGTCTGTATTGAAGGAGTGCCCAGTGTATAAGCCTTGCTGGTCTTGTGCAGAAGCCAAAAGAGATGTTTTTTCAATTTTCATCTCATGGTTTATTTTCCTATGGATTTCAGTGGAATATAAACCATAGCATCTCCAGGGCTGGCATCATCTCCCTCCACTCTTGCTCTGGTGCAGTCTTAGGTTGCAAGTGTATGATAAGTCACTTAAGGATATTGAAGCTTTTTTTCTCCTTTCCTACTTACCAATTTCATGGTCATTTCCTACAGCCAGAACACTTGCTGAACACAAGTGACAATGTCACTGTACAGTGTCACACCCCAAGTGTCATCATCCGCACCATTGCAGCAGAAGAAATCTCTCCCTCCGTAACCCAGGGGGAACTTACTGTTGACTCAGACCTACACCCAGTCGATCTGGTGGACCCTCCAACTTCATTAGAGACGGATGCTTTCCCAGATGACCTCCATCCCCCCAAGTTGGCTGTTGAAGAGCAGCCCATTTACGACGAAGATGAGCCCTCCAAATTTGATGGCAGAAGCAGCACAGAACTCATAGGCAGGGTCATGGAAAGAGCTGGAGAACAGGTTTCGGATACAGGCCTCAAACGCGAAGAGGACTGTCAGCCCAATTTGAGTGGAACATACGTTCCTGAGGTAAGGAAAATCATGTAGGAAAACCTGCTGCATAGCTGGTGCTTCTGTTAACTTCTGTCTTACAGAGGTGACTGTCATTATGCACAGTGCACCGTGCAAACCAGAGGCATTTTAACTGTGAACACTTTTGTATTATACAGTGGCATTCACTAGAAATGTACAATTGGCTGCAGCTTCCTGCTGAATGCATACGTTCAGTGAACTTGTGCTGGGTATGATGCAACTCCTTAACAAACAACTTATTCTTTTGATGGTAAAGGCTGCTTGCCATGCCCCAAATGGTCTTTTGTGAAGTAAAAGGAGTAATACAAGAGAAGAATGGCTAATTGTGTGTTAAGAGTGGCTTTTGTGCAGGAATGGGCAGGGTCTGGGTGCCATTTTACACCACCCGTCCTTGACATGCTAAAGACCACACCTTCCAGTAAAACAATTTCTTGGGTTTTGGGGAGAGGGAGTATAACTTGTCTTAGGAAGGGATCCTGCACTTTGCGGT